CACATGTGACAATATTTAATAAAGAAACCTTTTCGCTACCTTGAAGAAAAATGAACATGAAAGATCTCACGATCATAAAATTAAACATCATGTTAACATATCAACAAAGAAGTCATTCTATCTTCAAAACATGCAATTGAAAACCTATCTGAAATATTATATATTCTCAACGTACGGGAATATTTTATAGATATGACATCTCTACATTTATTAGACCTAGGGATTAATGAACTAGGTCAATTTTCGGATGGACAATTATTTAGAACAATAAGATATCAAAATATGTATGGGGGTCCGCGAAATTAAATAAGTTCTTCAAGGGGTCCGCGAAGTAAAAATCTGTGGGAACCGCTGCATTAGGGTGTCCCATAAGCCACTTTTTAGGAGGAATACCTCTAAATGCCTCTAATACGAGAAAATAAAAAACCATTTTATTGAAAAGATCTTCAGTTTCCTACCAGCGATTGAAAATCTAGATCTCAGTACAACATGTTTAAAAAACAAGTAAGAGTGTTATATTCGGCTATGCCGAATCTTATATACCCACTATCAAACCTCGTTTGACTCGAATGAAACTTATGTCGAATTTCATCTATATACTCGTATTTTTAGGCCAGTTATAAGCCTTAAAGTAATTTTCTGAAGGGGACCTTATATAGGGGGGTAGGGTCAATTATGGGTCGATTCTCATAAAATTTTGTAGACAGGATTTGGTTCGTATTAAATTTATTTGTGTCGAATTTCATCGCTACACTCGTATTTTTAAGCTATTAATGAGCGTAATTTTCTGGAGGGGACCTTATATGGGGGGTAGGGTCAATCATGGACCGATCAACATAAAATTTTTCAGATAGATTTTGACTCATATGAAACTTACTTATGTCGAATTTCATCTATATACTTGTATTTTTAAGCCAGTAATGAGCGTTAAAGTCATTTTCTGAAGGGGACCTTATATGGGGGGTAGGGTCAATTATGGACCGAACCTCATAAAATTTTGCATAGTGATTTTGGATCACAAGAAACTTACTTATGTCATCGCTATATTCGTATTTTTAAACAATTTATGGCTGTTACAGCTGCTTTTCGAGGGGCCACTTGAATGGGGGCTATCCGAAAACGTGGATCGATATTGCCCATTTTCAATACCAAACAAACCTTACCTATAAGAAATATTTATGTGAAATTTCAACCCTCTAGCTCTTTCCCTTCGGACTCTATCGTGCTTTCAACAGACAGACAGACGGACGGACAGACATGGCTAGATTGTCTTAGAATTTACTTTTGTGGGTCTATGACCAATATTTCGATGTGTTACAAACGGAATGACAAAATCAACATGATCCGCAAAACGACTTTTATTGTATTATAAGGAGAATATATATTTCAAAAAATTCTGAACGACAACTTTGACACCCAATTCGATAAAATGCGAAAATAATATGCCACTAAAAATCATAAAATCCCCGTAATCAGCTGTAAATTACGAAATTTTTGAGACCCATTTCAAAAAACTCGAAAATATTTAATTTTTCAAAAATTATACTGAGGTGAGGATTTGGAAGACATCGAAGGCCAGACACAAATTTTCAGCTCTATTGGTCGTACAGGTTTTTTTCCCAACAAAAATTTTCCAAAGGATTTAAGATAGCTATTTCTTCAATCTTTCCAAAAACATTTTTTATTACCCCCTTTAACTCTGGCAGTTATTTGTGTCGGGCCTATTATCCAATAGTACTACCCTTGGTGCAAATGTCATCCAAATCGGGAGACATCGATTTTAAAGGTAAATCACTTGGCACGAAATTGCCCTTATATATTTTTTTATTTTAATACAAATATTACGCAAATTCTTTTTTATAGCCGTAAAACAAATAGTGAAATTCTGCTTTAATGTCTAGTATTCGCGCGTTTATAAGCTACAAATACGTTTTGTGCTTCTTCAATTACGTGTGATCGTAAATGAATCCAGCAATAATTCTAGGCTAATAAACACAAGGCCCAAATTCGTATTCTTCTAAGCTTTTTTGTATATAAATCAAAACAACTTACTTAACTACTTATTGAAAGCAATCGTGATAATGACTTATTTAACTCCCTATTTGTAAGCGAGCATGATAAGTACCTGCGTCCAATGACGCCACCGTATTAAAGTAATGAGTTTAAATGCCAATGTATGAAATGTTAAATTAGCTATTTAACTTATTAAACGGCAATGTAAGTTTTTGCCTACTAGACTACTAAAACCTAATACAGAAGGTATAAAGTTCTCATTGAATAGTAAGTTTTTGAATAAGTACAAGTGATTATGATTATTTTTTATTGACTGTTAGACCTGTTAGAGTCAGTAAAATTATATTTTATCGCATATTATTATTTTAGCTTTTTTATGTACATACGTGTGGTCAAACTAACAATTGTTTTCGCAAATGTTTCGCCAGATGTAAACAAAAAATACATTGATTAAATTCAAATAATGCTTATTTCAATAAAATACACTTTATAATTTAGTTATAATATTCATGTGGGTAATAGTAATAAATTTTCGACAAAATATTGTTTGAATAAAAATTATATTTATGGGAAAAAAATAAGAAAGAATAGTCGTGAATGTTTGACCATAGTATACTCTACACCAATTATGAGTATATAAAAATTCGGCGAATTGAAACACATTTTTATTCAGCTTATTCATATCTTAATTTGTTACAATAAGAGATTATAGAATTTGAAACACTAAGCTACTTCTTAAATAAATTTCATGTTAACAAAGACTTTTAATTGACATACCAACTATGGCCTAATAAAAAGCAAAGTGCACTACATTTTAACAAAATTTTGAAGATGAATTTACTTTTACATTACAATTTATCAATCAATTTTGAGCTATAATGTTCTAGGTCTGAAAAGTTGGTTTATAAACTACATATGTTTGTTGTTTGACTAGATAATTCAGATGAACGGAAGAACAAAGTTGATAATGCTACCACCACCGAGATAAGTTTTAAGATATAATGGAATTATTAAAAAGTTCAATGAATCAGAATTGTTTATATTTATTTTTAAGTATTATTAAAAGTAATTATTTTTCTTTATCACAAACACCGAAACGAATTTAATAAAATATTAATAACAGCAATATTCTTCGTTTTACTATGATAACATTTTAAAAATTGACAATAATTAATATTAAGTTTTTATCTACATACATACTATTGAAGACAGCTACCAAATTTTATAAAATGTTTTTATCAGAGGGGACAAAGAATGTCTACATAAATAAAAATGTTATCGATAGGAAACTTGTCTTTATACCCTTCATATTCGTCTCAATTTTTTTGTAAAAAAAAAATATTTTTTTTAATAAAATAATATTTTTTTTAAAATATGCTCATTTGAAGTTTTGTCACAACTAAACATATGCACGGAATATCAGAAAGAAATTTTTGCAGACAAAATTCTCCGATTCCATATGATCCAACTATTAGATACAAGTACTTACCACGCACGCTTACAAATAACTACTTAAACAAGTAGTTACAAATAGTTGAGACACTTGACATAAAATCCCAAATAGGTGATATGTCAAGATGTTACAAAGTAAGTCTTTCTAACTCTTAGGATATATAACAAGTAAGAGTTCTATATTAGGCTGTGCCGAATCTTAAATACCCTCCACCAGCAAGCTACTTTTTATTAAAACCCATTTAACAACTTAATTTTTAGATACCTCGACATAAGTTTAGTTTCCGTAGTTATACATATGTGAAACTAATTTTGATAAGGTCCAGAAAATTTACATAAAGTGATTTTCGGATGTAGACCTTGTACGGGTGCTATGACCAATAATAGACCGATCCGGAAAAATGTTCGTAGAATGATTGATATGTACACAAAACATATTCATGTCGAATTTTATCTCGATAGCTTTATATTTCAATGAAATATATATTTTCGAAAGTGGACCTTATATGGCGCTATAACCAATTACGGGCCTATCCGGAAATAATTTCGTAGAGAGATTCATATATAGACAAAACATAAGTATTTGTGTCAAATTTTATTACAATTGCTTTATTTATCAATGAAATATGTGCGGAAGTGGACCTTATATGGGAGCTATGAGCAATTTTAGACCGATACAGATCTACATTGGTATTATGACTTCTGTTCATATTATATTTACATGTGAAACATTTTGTGTTGATACCGATATATTAACGATAAACTAATTTCCGGAAATATATAGCTTTGTATGGGGACTGTGATAAATTTTGGAACAACCAAACTTTATCCCTGGCAGAAAAGAATATTATGTGACAAAATTCATCAAAATATTTGTGGTAGTTTCTTAGAAAACTACATAAGAATTGGAAAAAAAAACCGTAATTTTTTTTCGAGGTAGTCTGAAATTTTTACTCATAACTTTTTACGTCGTGAACCGATTTTCAATACCAAACTGCTTAGGACAATAATAAATATTTTCGGTGGATTTTGTTGATTTATTTTTAACGTGAGCGTGTTTTACACAGACCGATAGACGGACATAGCAAGATCGACTCAGAATTTCATAAGGACCAAGAATATATGGTCCTTATATATATATGTATATACTTTGATGGGTCTAAGATGAATACTTCTTCGTGTTACACACGGAATGACAAACTTATACATTCCCACTAATGGTGGTGGAGGATATAAAAATGACATATGTTCAATAAGTACAGTTCAAACGTGAATAATCCATTCGATATTAATATCACTAAACTTCACTCTCTTAGTTCTCTGCACACACACACAAAATTATTAATTTTCAAATAAAATTCATTCGGTATTGTATTTAATCTTAATTGGTATTTTGTATTGATTAAAAGGAAATATTAATTGTTAAAGCTACATGAAATGATTAAAAAGTATATACGCGAATATACAAATATTTAGCTATGTATTTGGTTTAAAATAATATTATTTGTTTTATACATCCCATAATTGCTAAAGAGAATACTATAAAAACCAAACAACGATCATAGAAACTATTCAGTGATTATTTGAAACCCCTTCGGAAAGTTTAATCATGAAAATTGGTAAATACTCGTAATTACTGACAGTAGTATAGAAAGTAATAAAAATTAATATGTGTTTATATTTAGTGGCAGTTATTACAAGCCTATTGGTAGTGGCACATCATACACTGGCTTTAGTGTGTCCAGCTCGCGACTACAGTGAGAAAATTAAAAGTTTATGCGATGCGGAAAAAGACCTTAAAGTTTTGTGGCCCGATTATACAAATGCAACACGTTACTATAGATGCCAGGGACTCAAAAATCCTATTCTAGAAAACTGTTTTCCCAATACCATATTCACTTTCTATCAACAGAAATGTACCAAATGTGCTGAATATGTTCCAGCACCCCCATGTGGAGATTTAAAAAAAGGGAACTGTGAGAAATTTACACCTGCTGTAGTAGTGCCAACGCCAACAACTGCGCCTTTTTGCAATGTGCAGATTTATACGTCTACATTTACGCCAAAGTGTGTAGGTAATGACATTTATAGACTTTGGCCCAATTATAACGATGTAGAAAAATATTATCGGTGTCAGGCTGCTTATGTGCCTAAAATTGAAAAATGTCCCACAGGCACCTATTTCAATTATTATGCACAAGCTTGCACGGATTGCAGCGCATATGTTGCGGCTCCAGCTTGTGAAAAACTGATAAGTCAAGCTGATAAATTAAATAAATGCGTGCAAATTAAATAGTATTTCCAACTTGAGACACAAATTTACTAGAATGAATAATAATAAATAAAAGTTGTAACTATCTAGATGCAAAAGTCAATCGTTGTTTTTACTAGTAATTATATTTTATATACATACCCAGCTAAAAACGATCATATATGATTATATATGGATCATATATGAATCATATATGGACCATATATATTCATATATGTTCATATCCGAAAAATGGCGATATTCAGATATGAACATATATGAACATATATGTTTCATATATGAATCCATATATGATCCATACATAATCTTTTTTAGCTGGGTAGAACAATTTCTTGTCCTCAAATTGTCATTAATCGGATACATTCTGGTAAAGTGGGCTGTAAATAGCCAAATTTTAAAGTATTAGTAACAATGTCACTTAAGTGACATGTGTGCATTAATTAAAATCAATTTTCCAAGGAACCTAGATGTCTTTAAAATCTTGACATAATGTATTAAACATATGTATGCAAGAGAATTTTGGTGGTAAACATTTGAAAAAAAAAACGGTCAATTAATGACACAAAACCGATTACTCTTAGAAAATATAAGGTCAAATTACAGCATTCGATATCAATAACAAATACCGTTTCAATTTGCAAATTTTAATAACGAATTTATTTTATGTTTATGTACATGCTCCAAACTTCTAAATTTTAAAATAGAATATTTTTAATAAACAAATTTAAAATGACACCATTTCAAATGATAATATTATTTGGTGTGATGCATAATAGGTATGTATAAGTTCAGTTATTTTTATACCTACCATCAAAAAAGATGGGGGGTATATTGTTTTTGTCATTCCGTTTGTAACACATCGAAATATTCGTCTAAGATCCATATTCTGGGTCCTCATTAGATTCTAAGACGATATAGCCATGTCCGTCCGTCTGTCTGTCTGTCTTCCAAATGGAAGTAGATAGCGAGAAATTTTGCACAGATACTTTTCCCCTTCAGAAAATGACTTAAATATTTCTAACTGTCTGAAAGAAGCATATAAAGCGGTGAAATTCGACAGAAATATATCTTATAGGAACTTAAATCTCTTCGTAAAATTTTATAAGGATCGGTCCATAATTGACTCTACCCCCCATATAAGGTCCCCTTCAGAAAATTACTTAAATGCTCATATCTGACCTTAAGAAGCATATATAGCAATAAAATTCGACATAAGAAGGTTTTATAGGAACTAAAATCGTTTTCTTAAATTTTATGAGGATGGGTCCATAATTATTAGTTGCTTAAATTTACGACATTCGAATAAACAACTTCTTTACGAAACATACTTTATGTACAAAAGTTTATAAAAATCGGTCTATAATTGACCCTTATATAATATTCACTTCAGAAAATGACTTTAACGATCATCTATGGCTCAAAAGTTCTTTCAAATTACGGTAGTTTTATAGGAACTGAAATTTTTCAACTGAATTTGATGAGGATCGATTGATAACTGATCAAACATCCATTATCGGTTTCCTTCAGAAAATTACTTAAAACCTCATTACTGAATTAATTTGGAAGAGCACGGTCCATACTTAAGCCCTTATTAAAGGCCCTCTTCCAAATAGTTCCCTGATGTTCATATTAATATCGACTATCTAATAAATTAGAAAATTACTTCGATAATATCAAATAAACTTTGATAAGTATGATTTAATGGTGGGTATATAAGATTCGGCATGGCCGAATATAACCCTCTTACTTGTTTGGTATATGAATTATTTATATTGGTTTATAGTTTCAATCATCTAACATGTGAATATTTAATACATTAGGCGGCACTATTTCATTACTACTACTATAAGAAGTCATATTATCTACATATAATATATTGTGGCAGCTGAGCTCGGTCCGCTTTACATTTTTATTAGTGTTTTAAATTTAATTGACAAAAATGAAACTATGACGCCATCTATTGAACAAATTTAAACATAGCCCTGTAATAATTAATTATTTGCATTTTTCTTCCTTTAGAATGAGTTTATCTACGTTTTATAGATTAAATCGATTCAAAATAATAACGCCTCTTTTTGGAAATTTAGAATGCATATTCTAATAAGATTTATCTAAATAAAATGTATCTATATAATCAAAGACCTATCTATTATTTGTTACATACATACATACCCTGAAAGTATATATAATCTACAGCATTACAGTGGAAAGGGTGTTATGGGTATGTGATGCTGTTTGCAACGCATTGATATTATAAAGATATGTAAATGAATGAAATTAGGTACCAAAAACAAAGCCCGTTGAACATTTTTTAAAAAAATCTGTCGATCGACCGAATTCGTAACTATTTCGAATGCTAAGTTCTATATAATATTGAAAATTTTCATAATGGTCTGACATTATTTGACCGCTAATATTTCCCTACAGAATATTACTTGAATATTTCACTTACAAAAATCTAGACAATGATGAAATTAGCATAAATAACAATCCACCAAATTTTAAAAGAATTGGGCTATATTTGACCCTAGCCCCAAATAAAGCTTATTACAAGAAATTAAATTTTAAAGATAAAACAAGTAAGAGTGTTATATTCGGCTATGCCGAATCTTATATACCCACCATCAAAACTCGTTTGACTCGAATGAAACTTACTTATGTCGAATTTAATCTATATACTCGTATTTTTAGGCCAGTTACAAGCGTTAATGTAATTTTCTGAAGGGGACCTTATATAGAGGGGTAGGGTCAATTATGGGTCGATCCTCATAAAATTTGGTAGATAGAATTTGGTGCATATTAAATTTATTTGTGTCGAATTTCATCGCTACACTCGTATTTTTAAGCCATTAATGAGCGTTGCAGTCATTTTCTGAAGGGGACCTTATATGGGGGGTAGGGTCAATCATGGACCGATCCTCATAAAATTTTTAGATAGATTTTGACTCGTATGAAACTTACTTATGTCGAATTTCATCTATATACTAGTATATTTAAGTCAGTAATGAGCGTTAAAGTCATTTTCTGAAGGGGACCTTATATGGGGGGTAGGGTCAATTATGGACCGATCTTCATAAATAGTGATTTTGGATCACAAGAAACTTACTTATGTCGAATTTCATCGCTATATTCGTATTTTTGTACAAGTTATGACTGTTAAAGCTGCTTTTCGAGGGACCACTTGTATGGGGGCTATCCGAAAACGTGGACCGATATTGCCCTTTTTCAACACCAAACAAACCTTACCTATAGGAAATATTTATGTGAAATTTCAACCCTCTAGCTCTTTCCATTCTGACTCTATCGTGCTTTCAACAGGCAGACAGACAGACAGACAGACGGACGGACAGACATGGCTAGATCGTCTTAGAATTTAATGAGGACCCAGAATATATATACTTTTGTATATATTTATGACCAATATTTCGATGTGTTACAAACGGAATGACAAAACCAATATACCCCCCATCTTTTTTGATGGTGGGTATAAAAATGATCGGAATTTAAATAAATTAAATAGTATTTTTTTTTTATAAAATTTTAATTATGCTTATAGCTGGTGCAGTGCATCATATAGTCGGCCCTAACCGTATATATTTTCTTACTCATTTTAACATAAATACGTACATATGTACGGGGAAATTCGTGTCAAGTGACCCAAATTTTAAAATCGATGTCTTCCAATTTAGAGGAAAATTGAACCAAGGTTAGCACTATGGGATAGTAGGCCAGACAAAAATTTTCAGCTCCATCGGTCCAGAACTGCCGGAGTCAGAGGGGGTCATACAGGGTTTTATTCAAATGAGTATAACTTTTCACCTATTGGTCCTAGCAAATTATGTCCAAAGGAGTTTAGATAGCTATTTCTTCATTCTTTCAACAAAAAAAAACTATTGAAATGGTTAAAATCGGTCCATTATTTCACCTAGCCCTCATACAACAGAACCCCCCGAAAAGGGCTTCTGAGCTCATAATTATGTTAAATATACCTGAATATCGATAAAAAGCGGTACAACTAACTTTATCGGGCTTGGTCCATACTTGCCCCTAGCCCCCTTATAAAGCCTCTTTCAGAAAATTAGTTTTTCAACCATAAATTGCATAAATGTATCGGAACAATGAATTATTATGAAAAATAAATCACATTTAATATTCATAACTGGTGTAGGGTATGCTTTTAAAAGCAAAATTACCAACTTTGACCGCCTCCGACTCCGGCAGTTCTTGACGGATAAAGCTGAAAATTTGTGTCTGCCCTACTAGCCCATAATACTAACCTTGTTGCAAATGTCATCCAAATCGGAAGACATCGATTTTAAAAGTTGGATCACTTGACACGAAATTCCCCATATGTACATACATATGTATGTACATATGTATGTGTACGGGTATAGTTATCGTTTTAAAAACAAATTTGTATATTAATGTCAATTGTTATCATTATAATGCGTGTTGCGTTGAGTTTGGTACAATTTAGCTGGCTGCATTTGAAGCCTCTAACAAGGGTTAATGTGCATGACACAGTATTTTACGCATTTGCATTTGAATTAAAATTAGAAAATCCATGCCAAATAGAACAATACTACCAACGACTAACTAACACTGACCATATCAAATATGTTTTGTGACACATATACATACAAAATTGTTTTTATTAAAGAGTTCTACGAATTTTTTAAATACTCTATAACGATGTGTCACATAAAATATAAGGTATAGATAGTTCTTGTCAACTTAGTGAAGTAGTTTTAGTTATAACATTTTTGTTATGACATCTAATGTTTGTATAAGGGATTGCTAATTTTGATGTCGGTTAGTGCAGTCTATTCTCTCAAAAAATAATTATAATAATCAAAACGAAATCCTGGTAATTTTCTTCTCTATTGGTTAGCATACTCACGAAGCTGTACTTTTATTTTTTGAGTACCATTTTAAGTAGTAATCCGGTATGACTCTTGTAATCCCAAAGTCACTAATCGCAATGGTTCCCTTTAACATATTCCTTTCTTGCCACAATATTTATCGAATTTAGATTTCCAGCTCTCAACTCTTTAACCGCACGACACAATCATATGCGATAGTAATTTTCGCACAAAAATGTCG